CACTTCCCATTTTCTTTATCTCTCTCCTCTACAACTTTTAATTTTAATTTTAATCTTAATTTGATAAGTGACAAAAGTTGCTATAATATAATGCTTCATAAAACAAGTTATTGATAAATATATTGACTTAAAAATATTAACTTAACTTAGTTACGTTCAACAGTTGGTAACTAATATATTATTAAATAATTTTAATAAGCAGAGCTATAGTAATTATTATAATAAATATTTCTTAATTATTATTATTGTTATCAATATTATTGTTATTATCAATATTATTATTATCAATATTATTATTGTTATTATCAATATTATTATTGTTATTATTATCAGTTATTATTTTTATTATCAATATTATTATTGTTATTATCAATATTATTATTGTTATTATCAATATTATTATTATCAATATTATTTTTGTTATTATCAATATTATTATTTATTATTCAATATTATTATTTTTATTATCAATATTATTATATGATATTTTATCAAAGATTATTAGTTGGTATTATCAATAATAATATTTGATCAAGTATAGATAGTTAATTATCAATTGTATCAATTATCAATAGTTAATGATTTTAAAATATATTGTAATATTAATTCTCATTGTATTAAATATATATTTATATGATCAATACTTATTATTATGATATTGTTATCAAAAAGCAGTAAACCTTATGGTCAAACTGCCTGGGAATGGGAGGAAATCAGTTTTGATGCGATGAAGGAGACGATTTATATCCATATGTCCTTGGATCAAGAGCACTCACTAGCACCCAGGAGCTCCTTGATAAGAAATTACAATATAATAGAAGGTTGTCTCTTCCTTGGTAACCTTAAATACCCATATTTTGTTGCTCCTAATATTATATTATATATTATCAGCACACAAGAGCGCTAAACCCTTAAGTGATCCACTTCATGCTTAATTGTATAAAAGAGTTATTTTATTGCATCTAATAATATTTAAATACTCATATGGTCATTGTTCAATGAATTAGCCATCCACGTGAGCAAAGGAAACTTCAGGCTGTTAGTTTATCCAAGGATGTGGAGGGTTGGTCTGCTTCCTTGAATCAAGAGCCGTTCACCCTTTCGGGTTTAGCGTTTAGTTATGATTATAATACTCAGCAGCATCAAGGTAACTAACCCCTAAAGTGATCCAGGTTTATCAAGTTTAGATGAGCTGGGATGAGTTAAACTTTGAGCTGGTGAGTTTATTGGCATCAATGATGTCAACATCACCCATGTGAAGTCAAAATTTTTTTCAACACACTGGCCGTCTGCCACCTAGGCAGGGTGACCTGAAAAGGACACACTTCCACCATGGTTCACTATATCACTGCCTTGCCAGAGGCACATTGATATGACAGTTGGATATCTCTCCGCTTATTCAACATAGGATCACATAGATCACAGTTGCCAAATATTGTAATTGTATTAACCCTTGGTTAATAAAAAATCTATCTTAGAAATATTTAAGCGTTCTTCTTCTTCTTATGACCAGAGCTTTGGTAAGATGGGTAAGGAAGAAGGATGGGTAAGGATAGAAATATTGGAAAAGGGTGGGAGGGGGGAGAGAGGTAGGATATAAAAGGTAAGTGGCCCAACCACTTTGGTGTAATTTAAAAAGTGTATGTGAAATGATAAGATATTCTTTAAGGGGTATAATACTAGCCCATCAGAGTCACATAGATATAACAGATATATAAGTACATGACTCTGAATTGGTAGTAATTATATCCTGTATGTTACACAAATAATCCCCCACACAGGAGAAACTTCATAATGACATTTCAGTCTGACTTGAACCATAAACTAGTCACACTAACACACAAAGGTAAGGGAGCCAGTATACATACTGGCTCCCTTACCTTCATGTGTTAAGTGTGACTACTGTATTTCATGGCTTATTAGACACATTTTTTCCATAAAATGCTTTCAAAAACCACTCTGCGTCCTATAAACTGAAGATCAGTGATGGGAGCTATAATCTTGGGGTGTAGGGTGGGCCGTAGCTCTCCCAGTTACATCCGATGATGAGCCATTGAAACCATACCACGGGTGGGGATAGAACCCGCGGTCAGAGTGTCTCAAAACTCCAGACCGTCGCGTTAGCCACTGGACCAGCAACGCGACAGTCTGGAGTTTTGAGACTCTCTGAACGCGAGTTCTATCCCCGCCCGTGGTATGGTTTGTTTGCAATCGTGTCATTACGATTTCGTGAGTCATGAGCCATTGAAACTAAAACAAGTCTTATAAGCCACGAAATACAGTAATTAATGGTCGAAATTGGATTGAAACGTTGTCATAAAGTTTCTTTCTCTACGTGCAGGTTATTTGTGTATTGTTCCAGTCACGGTATTGTGCATTTGTGTTCTTTACTCTGTATGTTGATAATAATTATCATATCTCAACTGGTTTTGGAACATCGGAGATTATAGACACATTTTCAGTAACACTGCCACTCAAACTGCAGATAAAAATCTTATATACAAACTATCAAATATGCTGATAAATATCAATTATATTATCATGTAAATGGGTGCCCACTTTTATTGCTTAAGAAAAGAATTAAAGAAACTAAACCTCACAGCATAACAACTACAGAACATTGTTAAAAGTTACTGAAACCTTGAATTAGTTATAAGTACGTATAAACAGTAGTGAATGATAGTCCTGTATCTCACAATCTGCAGACAGAGGATTCGAACCTTAACCGCTGTGTACTTCAATGACTCAAGTGGGTTGAGTGCTTCACTCTGGATGTTTTTTTTAAGATCGTCTATAACAGTTGGTGGTTGCTTGGAAATGATATTTTCAACAGAAAGGTAGACATTCCGACTGAGTTCTTCCATAAGTACATTGCAATGTCTTGTAGTTTGCTTTTGACAAACTTAAACAGCTGATTTGATTCTGTCTTGCCATTATCTTTTTTTTCTCTCAAAATTTCTTTCCTCCATAAGTTTTTAACATATATTAATTTCTAGTGTCATTAACATTAAGGACAAATAACACCAACAAGTTAGCCAATTAATTTCTAGTTTTGTTGAATTTTATACTTACCTGGGTTGGCACTTTTCCTATAATGAGCTCCAGTCCATTTTCTTAATGACTCTCAGCCTCTATGGTTAAATAATTTTTTCTTAAGACTATTGACAGTTTGGAGGGACATCTAAACTGTTGTATCTGAGCGCCTCTGCAAAGACAGTGATTATGTATGAGTGATGGTGAAAGTGATGAATGATGATGAGAATTTTTTCTTTGTTTTATGGGTTTTTTTTCTTTTTTGGGACACCCTGTCTTGATGGGAAATGGCCAACCTGTTAAAAAAAATACTTCACTTTTTATTATTATATTTGCAAGTGCTAAACCAATAAGGATCACTTAACACTGCATGAAGTGAGAGAAATGGGTGAAGTGCTGAGGGAAGTTAGAGGTGCTGAGGTAAGTTATAGGTGCTGAGGGAAGTCTGAGGTGCTGAGGGAAATTAGAGGTGCTGAGCTAAGTTACAGGTGCTGAGGTAAGTTTGAGGTGTTGAGGGAAGTTCGAGGTGCTGAGGGAAGTTATAGGCGCTGAGGTAAGTTAGTGGTGCTGAGGGAAGTCTGAGGTGCTGAGGGAAATTAGAGGTGCTGAGCTAAGTTACAGGTGCTGAGGTAAGTTTGAGGTGTTGAGGGAAGCTAAAGGTGCTGAGGGAAGTTCGAGGTGCTGAGGGAAGTTCGAGGTGCTGAGGGAAGTTAAAGGTGCTAAAGGAAGTTTGTGGTGCTGAGGGAAGTTCGCAGTGCTGAAGGAAGTTCAAGGTGCTGAGGGAAGTTCGCAGTGCTGAGGGAAGCTAAAGGTGCTGAGGGAAGTTCGAGGTGCTGAGGGAAGTTCGAGGTGCTGAGGGAAGTTAAAGGTGCTAAAGGAAGTTTGTGGTGCTGAGGGAAGTTCGCAGTGCTGAAGGAAGTTCAAGGTGCTGAGGGAAGTTCGCAGTGCTGAGGGAAGTTAAAGGTGCTGAAGGAAGTTTGTGGTGCTGAGGGAAGTTCGAGGTGCTGAAGGAAGTTCAAGGTGCTGAAGGAAGTTCAAGGTGCTGAAGGAAGTTCAAGGTGCTGAAGGAAGTTCGAGGTGCTGAGGGAAGTTCGAGGTGCTGAGGGAAGGACGCCAGATGAAAGTATCCTGGTCACAATTAATGCTGTAAATCAGTGTCACTTAAGAAATCAAGACGACCTGATGCTCCTCGCTGAGTCGTGCAGACTATCTCCCCCATTTTGAAAAAGAATATTTTTTGGGGTATATTTAGAGAGATCTTCATATATCAAGCCTATATTCCAATTGCTTAAAATGCACTGCATACTTGTGGCTTTCTTTTGTGCCTAATATTTCACTACATGTAAACTACATTATATACATGTATACTGCAAAAAAAGAAATCAAGTACAGTGGACCCCCGGTTAACGATATTTTTTCACTCCATAAGTATGTTCAGGTGCCAGTACTGACCGAATTTATTCCCATAAGGAATATTCTGAAGTAGATTAGTCCATTTCAGACCCCCAAACATACACGTACAAACGCACTTACATAAATACACTTACATAATTGGTCGCATTCGGAGGTAATCGTTATGCGGGGGTCCACTGTATTTGAATTTGAATGCACCTTAGAGGCCTCAGTGTTGTAATTTTCACTAGAGATACAATGCCACCAAACACATTGTAAATAATTACATTGTATACCAGTTAGCCGGACCTGAGTCCTGGAGGTGGGAAGTATAGTGCCGGCACTCTGAAGGAAAGGTGGATATATGTCAGTTTTCAAACTTTAGAATCAGCATGCCTATGGCAAGACAGTGATGGAGTGAGTGATGATGAAAGGATTTCTTCTTTTTCAGGTCACCCTGCCTTGGTGGGAAGCAGCCGATGTGCTAAAAAAAAAAAAAAAAAAAAATGTTCTTTTCCTAATCTTTCGGCTGTGCCTGAGATCACGCTTTCAGCCTCAGGGAATAGTAATGTAACTTTGAATACTTTCTGACATTTATTTTAAAATAGTATCATTATGTATTTGAAGCATCCTCATTCATTAAAACTACTATATACAAATCATGGTGTATATCAATTTTATTTCATCCTAATCTCTTATTTACACGTAAACAATAAACTCTTTGACTTATTTAATCCTAAATTTAGGTCTCATACACCAGTACCTGAGTCTTCTCCATACATGAAATTTAGTGAAGAAGCGCTGATATAAATACAGTATATGATAAAAAACTATGATATCATTAACCACTTCATTTTGCTTTTCCTATACAAGTGTTCCTCGACTTACAATGGTTCGACTTGCAATACTTGGACTTTACAATGGAGCAAAAGCAATTACTTTGGAAATGAAACCTACTTACCCAGCATGAAGGCGGCAAGTCCGTATTATTATTATTATAATCAAAAAGAAGCGCTAAGCCACAAGGACTATACAGCGGCAAGTCCGTAACTTGTATTCATTTATTTACTTTTCAATACTGGTGTTCAGTTAGTTATAGAAATTATCTGTTTATTTACTTATTCAGCCACAGTAGTTATTTATGTATTTATTTATTTAGCATATCAAATTTGTGTTCGATTTATGATGGGCTTATTCGAACATAACTCCATCGTAAGTCAAAGAGCACCTGTACTTTAAGATTTATGAACAGAGCTATTAATTTTTTGTTAGCATATGTATCAATCCCACCAATGTGCGGGGGTCATACGTACTTGTGCTTTCCGACAAGAGGAGACACATCACATCTCGAGAAGGAGAGTTAGCAGAAAATGATTGGCTTTGGTATGGCTCAGGGTTGGTTGGTGTTCATATTAAGGATGTGAAGCAGTTATCATCTCCTCACCAAGAAACATGTCTGTCACCTCACTGGAAAATGCTGGCCTGGCATATACTGTATTATAAAGATACACACCTAGAAGATTTGCTACAGAGAATGATCAGTTACAGAAATTTAAGTCTGACAGATTAATTAAAAATGATACAGTTCAAATGAAAATTTTTTTTTCTAGTACAGAGAACAGTGTCCAATGTAAAAAAAAAAAAAAAAAAAAAAAAAATTGAGTCTTTCAGGTGTCTGCATAGTTTACCATATTAAGTTACAGCCAAGTAAAACCATTATATAAAAAAATCATATTAGGAAAGGATTCATTTGCATTAACATAATGCACCCTTGGACAACAGAAGAAAATAAACTATACTATTTACAAATCAGTTTTCTTTAAACTTAGTCAAAATATATTCATTTTGTATATAAGAAATGTACAGGAATATTTTGATTGGCAGACATTGCAGGAACATCTTTATGGAATGTGCATTTCAATTATTTTCTTTAATTTTGCTGAGAAATATCTACAATGTGCATTAAATTTGTTGAGCAAATCTACTTTTGGAAAGTTGCTTGAGTATTCCCTCCAAAGCTCCTATCCATAATTGATTCCTCTTGCGTTATTTCAGTTCAATTTATCCTGGAAGGTAATGCAAGTAGCCTCTGCTAACCTATCCTTAACTGGTTCCTCTTGGGTTGTTACACTTCAATTAAGCTAAGCCAATGAAAACATAAGAAACTAGTGAATAAGAAAATGCACTTCTGTGTTTCGAAAAAGGAAAACAGGAAATATAAAATACAGAGGAGGGCTCTTCATGTATAGCACCTTCTTTTCAGTGTTCCATGTTTTCGTTGGTTTCAAAGTAAGCCACTGTTCATTACATTCCACTTGTTGGCAATCATTGTTGGCTCAAATGAAAGCCATCTTTGCTGGCGAGTGGAACAATGGCTCAACTGAAAGCCACTGAAAATGTGGAACACCAAAAAAAGATGTTGTATATGTGGGGCCATCCTGTATATATGGAGAAACAAGCTACACAAACATGATTTCAGGGAACAAGAAAGTTACCTGCATGTCAGAATGACTGAGATGGAATGTGCTACATAGGTAAAGAATGATTTGACTTCCCGGGTCAAGATAATGGACCCATTATATACCATGACTCCCTGGATCAGGGTAATGGACCCATTATGTACCACTGTAATCTTTTGACTATCACCCACAAGATGGGTAAGGGGGTACGTAAAGGCATAATATAACTATAAAACTAAAAATCCTGGGTCATGATATTAGTCACAAACTTTACTAAGATTTCACCCATTAAAAATCCAAATTATAGAAATTCGGAAAGCTAAAATGTGATATAGCCCATAACTTGTGGTAAGACATTTCTATATTAGAGTTTAACAAAAATTTATTCAGATATAATCTTTAAACTCACTGCCAATTCCTTATCCCTGGTGGGACGTTACTGCAGGTTTGTCATTAATGAAGACATCCTCAGAGAACCTCCTCTGGCTCCTGGGGAAGGCTTCTACATGGTTACAGAGTCATTGAAGAATTTTAGTGCTCACTGTGTTGGAGTGTAACACAAATAATGCCATATACATCATGAAGGAAACACTTAAAGTTTCTTCTGGCTTAGCAATTAACACAAAGTTCATCTACTAAGGATAATATTACAAAGTATCTTTATTATTCAGTTAGTTTTTCTAACCTTAATAATAGAAATGACTAGTCAATATCCAATTAATGGCTATAAAAAGTTAACTGCTGTTCTTTCTGTTTCTTTGTGTGCTGCATCAAGCATAAATTTAACAATGTGCTCAACTGGCTAATTTATATCATCACCGAACTGAGTAACAAAATTGTGATGACACAATTGCAAACAAACCACACAAAAGGCAGGGATTGAACTTGCAGCGAGTGAGTCGTAAAACTCCGGACCAACGTGTTAGCCATTGGGCCACCTGGCTACAATAGGATTCATCCAACTAGGTATATACACCATAGGAAGGTTAACATAGGCACCACTGTGACCACAAATGCAAGTGGTGCCTATGCTAACCTTCCTATGGTGTATAAATATACCTATTTGGATGAATCTTATTGTAGCTAGTTGGCCCAGTGGCTAATGTGCCGGTCTGGAGTTTTATGACTCACTAGCCATGAGTTCAATCCCCATCCATACCTTGGTTTATAATCACTGAAATTAAATGCCATACAGTAAACTCATAATTTTTCCTTATTAATTAAGTATTTCTGATCTCAATATTTTCAGGTACAGGTGAAATCATTACTAATAATTAAACTGAAAAATCTTTGTACTTTTGTGTAGGTTTTTTATGAGAAAAACAAAAATGTCAAAACTTAACTTTAGGTGTTATATGACTGAAGAGTTAATTTTTCTAATCCATCAATTCTACTACAGAAATTACTAACTTAGCTCAAAGAAAGTATAGTCATATTAGCATCACTTGCTTGCAAGCATTAAAATTAAGAGCTTACTGTAAATGGAATGTTATATTTAACCATGGGACAAATCTGACATATCTAACTTCTTTAATTAAAATAAAGAACTGAAAGTCTACACTTCCAATTTTCACTCAGCTAGTGTTACCTAGCAAGTTATCATTACAAAGGTTTCTTGATGCCTAACAGCAGGGCAAGATTGTTATCATCACAAAGGTTCCTTGATGCGTAACAGCAGGGCAAGATTGTTAAAGTTATTACTGTGGATTACTTACCAGAACATCCTCTGATAAAACTAAATACCGTATCTCAAATTAATGACTAACTCCCAAATTACAGATGAAAAATAGACAATGAACACTAAAGCACAATACCATGACTGGAACAATACACAAACACCCTGGTATGGGTAGAAACATTGGGGCGAGTTTTCTTAATACATATGCTGTTGCTGTTAGTTGTCTGGTGTGGGCCACATCCTGGGAACATAACCTAATTTGCCTGAAATGCTCTGCATAACCAGGGGCTTTCCATATAGTATGAATTTGATGTCAGCTATGGTCTGTATAAGTCATATGATGTATTTGCAGAAATGAAGATTATTATTATTATGCAATCATAATGTATGTAGTCTTCTGTGTCCCACTGACAAATAGTCTTGTTGCAGCCAGCGCTGTTAGTATTATTACTATTTTGATTTGGGGCTATGGGAATTTTGGGGGATTTCAGTCCCTCAAAATTGGTGCTTCCACTGGGAAGAGGAGTGATATTTTTTTTATGAACTGATAAGTTTTTAGATAACAAGAAATGTTAATTCTTTAGTTGTATTAACAAGTTAACGAGTAATAACAATCAATGCTAAGAAAACCTTTTCAGAGTGGCCCAGGGAGAGAGAATAACCTCACCTACCCCAGTTCCTTGGATCTGCCCTTGCTAACATGCTATTACTAGACACACCGAAACACTGTCTGTTTCATACTCAACTTGTTAATTGTGAATTAATCCAGCCATGATATTGTGACTTCTTATTCTTATATCTCCAACATTCTTGAAAAAGGTAAAAACAATGTTTAGAATCAGTTTCAATATTGAACTCTACGATGAAAAAGAATACAAAATATATATAAAGATCTATTACCAAAGTTCCTTCCTTGAATTTGGATGATGTCAACAAGGAAACTACTAGTGTACATGCTATGGTAATATCTCATCACATGGGCTTCATTTTATAATGCAAGTAGTACTGATGAGAGGCAGGGCCAGATTAAGGCATGGGCTTCAGAGGCTGCAGCCCAGGGGCCTCCACCAGCTGGAGGACCTTCAGGGGTTGCAGCCCAGGGGCCTCCACCAGCTGGAGGACCTCCAGGGGTTGCAGCCCAGGGGCCTCCCCAGCTGGAGGACCTCCAGGGGTTGCAGCCCAGGGGCCTCCACCAGCTGGAGGACCTCCAGGGGTTGCAGCCCAGGGGCCTCCACCAGCTGGAGGGCCTCCAGGGGTTGCAGCCCAGGGGCCTCCACCAGCTGGAGGACCTCCAGGGGTTGCAGCCCAGGGGCCTCCACCAGCTGGAGGACCCTCCACAGATGTTCTCAATAACTTGCAATTTACTGATGTTTTGTAGAAATTTGTTAACCAAGAAATTACACAAAGCAAATGATTGAATTTTAGTTGTGGGCAGCCTTGTCAAAATAAATTTAGTTTTTCTTAAACTTTTTCCTTTTGAAAATATCACTGGGGGCCTCACAGTACCTGTAGCCCAGAAGCCTCACAGTACCTGTAGCCCAGGGGCCTCACAGTACCTGTAGCCCAGGAGCCTCACAGTACCTGTAGCCCAGGGGCCTCACAGTACCTGTAGCCCAGGGGCCTCACAGTACCTGTAGCCCAGAAGCCTCACAGTACCTGTAGCCCAGGGGCCTCACAGTACCTGTAGCCCAGAAGCCTCACAGTACCTGTAGCCCAGAAGCCTCACAGTACCTGTAGCCCAGGGGCCTCACAGTACCTGTAGCCCAGAAGCCTCACAGTACCTGTAGCCCAGAAGCCTCACAGTACCTGTAGCCCAGGGGCCTCACAGTACCTGTAGCCCAGGGGCCTCACAGTACCTGTAGCCCAGAAGCCTCACAGTACCTGTAGCCCAGGGGCCTCACAGTACCTGTAGCCCTGGGGCCTCCCAGTACCTGTAGCCCAGGGGCCTCACAGTACCTGTAGCCCAGGGGCCTCACAGTACCTGTAGCCCAGAAGCCTCACAGTACCTGTAGCCCAGGGGCCTCACAGTACCTGTAGCCCAGAAGTCTCACAGTACCTATAGCCCAGAAGCCTCACAGCACTTGTAGCCCAGAAGCCTCACAGCACTTGTAGCCCAGGGGCCTCACAATACCTGTAGCCCAGGGGCCTCACAGTACCTGTAGCCCAGGGGCCTCACAGTACCTGTAGCCCAGGGGCCTCACAGTACCTGTAGCCCAGAAGACTCACAGTACCTGTAGCCCAGGGCCCTCACAGTACCTGTAGCCCAGAAGCCTCACAGCACTTGTAGCCCATGGGCCTCACAGTACATGTAGCCCAGGGGCCTCACAGTACCTGTACCCCAGGGGCCTCACAGTACCTGTAGCCCAGAAGCCTCACAGCACTTGTAGCCCAGGGGCCTTACAGTACCTGTAGCCCAGAAGCCTCACAGCACTTGTAGCACATGGGCCTTACAGTACCTGTAGCCCAGAAGCCTCACAGTACTTGTAGCCGAGGAGCCTCACAGTACCTGTAGCCCAGGGGCCTCACAGCACTTGTAGCCCAGGGGCCTTACAGTACCTGTAGCCCAGAAGCCTCACAGCACTTGTAGCCCAGGGGCCTTACAGTACCTGTAGCCCAGAAGCCTCACAGCACTTGTAGCCCAGGGGCCTTACAGTACCTGTAGCCCAGAAGCCTCACAGTACTTGTAGCCCAGGGGCCTCACAGTACCTGTAGCCCAGGGGCCTCACAGTACCTATAGCTCAGGGGGCCTCACAGTACCTGTAGCCCAGGAGCCTCACAGTACCTGTAGCCCAGAAGCCTCATAGTACCTGTAGCCCAGAAGCCTCACAGTACCTATAGCTCAGGGGCCTCACAGTGCCTGTAGCTCAGGGGCCTCACAGTACCTGTAGCCCAGGGGCCTCACAGTACCTGTAGCTCAAGGGCCTCACAGTACCTGTAGCTCAGGGTCCTCACAGTACCTGTAGCCCAGGGGCCTCACAGTACCTGTAGCCCAGGGGCCTCACAGTACCTGTAGCCCAGGGGCCTCACAGTACCTGTAGCCCAGGGGCCTCACAGTACCTGTAGCCCAGGGGCCTCACAGTACCTGTAGCCCAGGAGCCTCACAGTACCTGTAGCTCAGGGGCCTCATAGTACCTGTAGCTCAGGGGTCTCACAGTACCTGTAGCTCAGGGGCCTCATAATACCCGAAGCTCAGGGGCCTCACAGTACCTGTAGCCCAGGGACCCTCACAGTACCTGTAGCCCAGGGACCCTCACAGTACCTGTAACCCAGGGGCCTCACAGTACCTGTAGCTCAGGGGCCTCACAGTACCTATAGCCCAGGGGTCTCACAGTACCTGTAGCCCAGGGGCCTCACAGTACCTGTAGCTCAGGGGTCTCACAGTACCTGTAGCCCAGGGGCCTCACAGTACCTGTAGCTCAGGGCTCTCACAGTACCTGTAGCTCAGGGGTCTCACAGTACCTGTAGCCCAGGGGCCTCACAGTACCTGTAGCTCAGGGGTCTCACAGTACCTGTAGCCCAGGGGCTTCACAGTACCTATAGCTCAGGGGACTCACAGTACCTGTAGCCCAGGGGCCTCATTGTACCTGCAGCTCAGGGGTCTCACAGTACCTGTAGCTCAGGGGCCTCACAGTACCTGTAGCCCAGGGGCCTCATTGTACCTGCAGCTCAAAGGCCTCACAGTACCTGTAGCCCAGGGGCCTCACAGTACCTGTAGCCCAGGGGTCTCACAGTACCTATAGCCCAGGGGCTTCACAGTATCTGCAGCTCGAAGGCCTCACAGTACCTGTAGCCCAGGGGCTTCACAGTACCTATAGCCCAGGGGCCTACAAAAATCTTAATCCAGTTCTTATGACAGAATATCTCTGCTGACATTATCGTTTTAATCCAAGACAGCACTTGAATTAATGGACTACTTATACCACTGTGATATATGCTTTTTCATCACAATGAATAATACTTGACTAGTTGCATACAAAAACCTATCTTTACACTGAATACCTAAAATATATAAATTCCATTCATGTTAAATATATGCAATTTAAGCACAATAAAAGGGAATAACTTGCAAGCACTCTGTCTATCTCTCACTCACATGCACTAAGAATGTGCCTCAGAGATAATGAAAAATGCTCTGAATAAATTTCCTTTTCACCGTGGTTATATCACACATTAAGATATCATGTTTCTTGTGATTTTGTTGCACATTAAATATACGTTTAAAGGATTCAAAAATTAAGTTGTAATAAACAACTATCAATGAGTAAAGAGAAGAGTGGATGAGGGCTTGAACCGAGGTCTGCAAATTGACTCAGTTTACAGATTGCGGTTTGAGTCCCTCATTCACCCTTCTGTTTATCCACATACAATGGAACTCTGGTTTTCATACTCCCAAGCTTGCACGTAAACCACAGTTATTCTCTATAATATCTATTTTTTTTATATTTCTCATAAGAAATAATGTAAATCCAATTAATCCATTCCAGACACCCAAAAATATTAATAAAAAATACATTTTATGGAAAATAACTGTGGTTTTAACAGGCTCGCTGCGGAGCACGAAAACCAAGGTTTCACTGTATTTAACCCGTAAACGGTCCGAGCAGATCGACGTTCAAATTCGTAGCTACAAAAGTAGATCTACGTTTTTTTTACATATTTTCAAATATAACAAAAAAAAAAGTAGATCAAAGCTTTTTTTACACATTTTCAAATGTAAAAAAACAAAAAGATCTACTCTTTTTACATACTTTCAAATGTTGAAAAAACGTATATACGTTTGGACCGTTTACGGGTTAAAGAATCATATATGACTGATACTATAAAAGAAAAACTAAGAAAGTGACAATATGGGACACAAATACTATACCATCCTATACGTCTGTCTTTTCTAAAAAAGCACCGGTTTTATGTAACAATTCAATACAATAATCAAGAAACCGGGCTTATATATTAAAAAGTCATTTGGCTACTTACACCAAAATTAGAAATTGCATAATGCTGTAAAATATAATAGAGAATGAAATATTACAATTATGTATCATAAAGTGGTAATAAAACAATATTTATAAATTAATTAAATGTACAAATGGCTGTTATATGAAGACTAAATATACATTCTCCGAGTTATTTTGGTTCAGACTAGGTCATCACTGTTACACACGTATGTTAGGTTATGTCCTCAGTATTCACTTGCTATAGCATACTTTCTATATCATCTCAAAAACTGTCTAAACTTTTGTCTATAAATTTCAACTAATCAAATAAAGAGAACCAGTTTGCCAGAGTTATCCTTCGACTACAATTAAGGCTACATCTTTCATATACTGCATTGTACTAACTAATAAATACTGTAGTACATACCATGTAACATCAAACTAAAACCTAACTGGCAAATAATTTCACTCTTTTCTAAAGTTTTAATAACATTTAAATATAAAATAATGAACTAATCAATGATTTACATTAATATATATATATACATTTAAAAAAAAATAAAAAAATCATATAAGCATGACTCACATAAGCAAGGACTATAATGTATTTCTTTTAATAATGTCCGGACGACTGTAAGTCTTTGAAGAATACTTCTCGTTCTCATTCACTGTAATTACCATCACAATTATTCTCACTTGCATCAAGAGTAACAAGTTGACATTAACTTCAACAATTTTTTATATTTTTCTTATATACACTTTATTGTGACACTTTAATCCTCTTACACACGTCATGCAATTCCAAGTAAAAATCCCACACATTAACAGGAATTACTACCGAGAAAATATTTGTGGCACTTGTTAGATAAAGTTCGTTTTGATTAATGAGAAGAACGCAACCTTGGTTCTTCCTTTCTAAACAGATATCACTCGCAAAATATCCATTATTTTGAGAGTTTGATATGGTTCAAGATTTCTTTAATAGCACAGGAAGTCCTGGCAGTACTTAAGGCTTAAATAGATCATCATATCAAACCTGAAGGCAATATTCCATCACTGTATTAGCATACATAAAGCAACACCTCTCATGTAGGTTGTTTGAAGAGGTACCCCATACATACATACACATGTATCACTGATCAATGGTAAGCATATTCTTCAAGCGGTGGATATCGCAGGACACCATATTACCTGACATGAGGATCAGAGGAAATATCTACTTTGAAAGCATTAAATTACTATTTTTCCTAGGTTACACATCTGTGTTTCTCTGGGATATTAGCCGAGGAGGTGGAGGTTTATCATCTATTGCTTCCACATAGTTTTCAGGTATCAGACCAGTTCGTCCGTTGAGAGTTCCTTCCAGCCAGCCGGGTTCTCGAGACGGTCGAACTGCAATTTATAAAAATTTTTACCAATCTGTTCCGAGATATGAAAAAATACATCAATTTATTACCAAAATACATGATTCAAAAATAGGACAAAAAAATTAATGTCCATGTCTCACGAAATCGTAAAACACGATAGCAAACAAACCACGGAATGTGTGTGTGTGGGAAGGGGGGTTGAACCCTTGGTGAGTGAGTTGTAAAACTACAGGCCAGGTCATAAGCCACTCAGCCAGCTGGCTATAATACAATTCATCCAATCAGGAGGGCCCTGCACATATAGCACCTTCTTTTCGGTGTTCCATGCTTTCACTGGCTTCAAAGTGAGCCATTGTTCATTATGTTCCATGAGCCAGTGATTGTCACCGGTGGGTGGAACAATGGCTCAACTGAAAGCCAACAAAAACGTCGAACATTAAAAAGAAGTGCTGTATACCCAGGGTCCTCCTGTATTTCTATACACTGTAGAAATATACCTAGTTGGATGAATCTTATTGTAGCCGGCTGGCCCAGTGGCTTACACAATGGCCTGGAGTTTTAAGACTCACTCACCATGGGTTCAACCCCCACACATTCCATGCTTTATTGTCCATGTATATATGAAAATGGGGATGACTTACCATTACTTAATATTTGGTTTGGTTCAAAAGAAAGCTCTGACTCATTCTCTCCTACACATGCATACAACGTTCTCACACGCCTGAAACAAAAACACATTGTGTTAGTTTTCTAAGCATCACAAATATTAAAATTCAGCAACTCCCACAAGATATTTAACTGCCTCCAGGCTGTCTTGCTTATACGTATATTAACCCTTAAATGGTCCAAACGTATATAGAGTGGACCCCCGCATAACGATCACCTCCGAATGCGACCAATTATGTAAGTGTATTTATGTAAGTGCGTTTGTACGTGTATGTTTGGGGGTCTGAAATGGACTAATCTACTTCACAATATTCCTTATGGGAACAAATTCGGTCAGTACTGGCACCTGAACATACTACTGGAATGAAAAAATATCGTTAACCGGGGGTCCACTGTATACGTTTTTTCAACATCTGAAAGTATGTAAAAAAATGTAGATCTTTTTTTTTGTTTTACATGTGAAAACGTGTAAAAATAACTTTTATCTACATTTTTTTTTTGTTATATATTTGAAAATAAAAAAAAAAAAGTAGATCTACTTTTGTAGCTACGAATTTGAAGTCGATTTGTTTGGACCGTTTAAGGGTTAAAATAGCTTGCACATTAAGCATCCATGGTCAGTTAAATGAAAAAGCTAAGAAATTATGTATAGTCTAATTTAAGCATAAAAATAAGTATATACTGCGAGTGAATAAATAAATACAAACTGAACAGACAAATTTTTTTTTTCATACTGAAATGATTGTCACTCTCAAGCTCACAGAACACTCAACACATTTACACCTAATTCAAAACATAGTTGGAATCAGCTTACACATGAACAGTCTGACAGTTTATGAGGCGTAACACACACGATCTGATGTAAGTGATTTACAAAACTGATAAGTTGAAGAATGAAACACTTTTGCAACATTTGGGAATTGTAGATGAATGGTTCAGAGAACCGACACGTTGATAAATTAGACACATGTGCAACTCTTGGGTATCTTTATTGAGGAAACGTTTCGCCACACAGTGGCTTCATCAGTCCATACAAAGGAGAATCTTGAAGAACAGGAGGAGAATGAGGTAATCAGTCCCTCAGCCTTGAGTCGATATGGTCAGTCCATCAATCTTGAATAGATACCCAAGAGTTGCACATGTGTCTAATTTATCAACATTTGGGAATCTTACTGAGGAGGCGTTTCGCCAGCCAGTGGCTTCTTCAGTCCAATACAGAGAAGACCGATGGAAATTGAGATGGAGTTTGAAGTAATCAGTCCGTCAGTCTGGAGCTGAAGTGTACAGTCCATCAATCTCAAGATTGATGGACTGAACACACTGACTCCAGGCTGAGGGACTGATTACCGTTCTTCTCCATTTTGGACTGAAGAAGCTACTGGCTGACAAAACATTTCCTCAATAAAAATTCCTAAATATTGCACATATAATTTGTTGGGAAGACAGATGAACCTGGAATTGTATGGTGTATAGCTGTTCTTAGCTGATACTGAAGCTCTGAGGTGTTAAGATTGATAATGCAGCAGCTTCCACTTTCATTCTTGAGGAATTTACGAAATCCTGGCTAGTTGCCAAGGTGGTCACCAATCATCCATGAATACTAGACATATACAATCATGTGTTGCATAACATTTTGGTCAATGACGGACCATATACACAATGATGGTACTATGTGCTGCCAGCCATTTAAAAGTATAGTACATACAATTATGTACAGTACGTGATACCCAACAAAGATAATAAACAACTCTGTTACTGGTTTATGTACTACTATACTGTAGTTTTTATTATTATTTTAGAGTGTACTCTCTCTACTTATAAAAAATAAAGTTTAGTGCAAAACAGTATGGGGTATTATGCCGGCAGCAGCCTCATACATCGTGTTTACTGCGTCTCTTGATAGCATAATTTTACCTTGTGCTTGATTTAATCTTGTGTTGTTTTGTTCATCATGGCCCCTAAGCATACAATATACTCTAGATAACATGAATTATTATTATTATTATTATTATTATTATTATTATTATTATTATTATTGTTATTATTATTATTATTATTTATTAACACATCGGCCGTCTCCTACCAAAGCAGGGTGAATATTGAGTACAGTGGACCCCCGACTTACAATCAGCTCCCAACTCGAACAATTATGTAAGTGTATTTTTGTAAGTGCTTTTGTAAGTGTATTTTTGGGGGTCTGAAACTGACTAATCTAATTTACAGTATTTCTTATGGGAGCAAATTCGTTCAGTAACGGCACCCGAACAGACTTCTGGAATGAATTAATATCGTAAGTCGGGGGTCCACTGTATTTTAATCAGATTTATTGTTAACATGTTTCTTTAGCAAAAACATTGTTTATTTAAACCATCACACTGAAATGTTGCTCAGTTATAGAAGAATTTTAATGGCCAATTTTCACAGGCATTCAAATTTTTCAATAAATTTTCATCCGATTTTTCCAACTGGACACCTGGCCCTTAAAAACTCAGATTCTGTTGAAAACAATTATGTGCCAGAAAATTCCAGGCTCAGAGGAAAAAAAAATGGATTTGGCAACCAAACTGATTTAACTTTTCTATTTACCATGCTGCACATGCACTCATAACTTATGCACTGTCTATCTCACTCATACAAGCATACTTAAAGAATGCTGACGAATAGACAGATGAATCCCACATGGATGGCAAGTCAAATATGGAGAAGAAAGTATTTGCATATTTCAATTTCTCTTTTGTGTGGAGGTAAATGGAATAAAATACCAACAGGATGAAAAAATAGATATACATGTAAATGCAGCATAAAGCCATTGTGTTGGCAAAACGTAGTCCATAAAGCATCACATTATATCTTATTTTTATACCAGTAATATATAATATTTCATCTGTGAATAGAGACCCTCTTCAGCAGATTAAGAGAAGTCTGTGACTTAGTCTGATACACATAGTTTGTCCTCCATGTTATATGCAGTGTACATGTGGGATATACTTGCTCAAGAACACAAATGTTGCAACAGTCATTGACACCAAGCTGCACGAAAATCTCAACATGCACTTACACATATTAGTGCTCAACTATTTTGTTGAAAATAAAGCATAACAATATTGAGCAACACAATACAGTGGACCCCCGCTTAACGATCACCTCCAAATGCGACCAATTATGTAAGTGTATTTATGTAAGTGCGTTTGTACGTGTATGTTTGGGGGTCTGAAATGGACTAATCTACTTCACAATATTCCTTATGGGAAAAAATTCGGTCAGTACTGGCACCTGAACATACTACTGGAATGAAAAAAGTTCGTTAACCGGGGGTCCACTGTATATTGAAAATACACATGTCGCTTGCCGGTTAAATTTTACAATATAGCATTTCAAGTGTTTACTAATATGCAAAAAATTAATTATTGCAGTATCATTATTGGATAATTTTAAAGGAATATAGAGGATATCTATTCATGCTGCCAGGTCTCAGGTCAAGAATTATAAAATGTATCGGATATATTACAGGACTAAGACAAATTAAAATACACATATCAGTAGGAAAGTAAAGGTAACTGTATGATGAGTGTAAGTTAAGGTTACCAAGATTTACTTGCTGCCTACCATGTTTATAATATACTATAAAGAAAAACCAGCAATCCTGCCAGAATGCAAAATTTCTAACAGGCTTCTGTTTCATATACTGTGGACCCTCGAATTTAGTCATGCCTTTTCTGTATTCAAAACTATTTTTAGTATCTATAAAATGTATTGTTTGTTAATATTTTTGGGTGTCTGGAATGGTTTAATTGGATTTACATTATTTCCTATGGGAAATATTAACAAAACATACATTTTATAGATAATAAAAATAGTTTTGCATACAGAAAAGGCACTACTAAATTCGAAGGTCCACTGTAAATGAAATGGGAGCTTGTTAATACAAGAACTGCGTATTTCAACCATGACACCAATAAACAGTCATTACATTATATTGAACTGAAATTCCTGAATGAATTCATGCATGATGCACTGGGTTCTACACTATACCTTGGTGGTGAGTTGACGGTTCCATTAGAAGTGGACGAGGAAGAGGGCGGAGGAGAGGAACTAGTCGGAGCCATGAGGCTCAGGGTGGAATGTGACCCACTGATGGAGTTCCTGTGGGAAGATGTGACATTCAACTTATGACAATTCAACTTGTGACATTCAACTTCTTATTTACTTTGGAAATTCACTATTTTTTCACGTAGATTCTTTTCCATATATTAATCTAATGTGTTACGAAAGAGACCACTTTAAAGTGTCTGTAAGTTAATGTTTTTTCTCCTAAGAGTGTCACTTTAAAGTGTCTGTAAGTTAATGTTTTTTCTCCTAAGAGTGTCACTTTAAAGTGTCTGTAAGTTAATGTTTTTTCTCCTAAGAGTGTCACTTTAAAGTGTCTGTAAATTATTGTTTTTTTCTGCCTACCTACCTGCGCATACATTTTACCCAGCCTGGGAATCGAACACAGGTCCATCCAGTTGCGAGATAAATACCCTATCACTAATCTACAAGCATTCCCTTTCCTGAAGGATCATTCTCACATAGAACCTTGAGACATCTTGCCTTCCTTGAAGCTGTACCCTAATAAATAACTTTCTTAGGACATTCCCCCCCTGAAGGGACAATTTTATAGAGAGCCTTTACTGTACATAACTGTAGTGTGATTGAACCCACAAGTGATGGAAAAAAGGCACACGCATAGCTAAAGGAGACCTTTAATTATTGCATTTCACTTATGACAGATTTTATTAAGTCTTTTATGGATGACACACTAATAATAAAAGGCCTCTACTTGCTACATGTGTTATTTTTCATCACTTCTCTATACACGTGGTTAATTATTTTTTAAACAAGCGCTTGATATACCGGCAAAATACTGGCAGACATTAGAAGTTTATAACAAACTGCTAAATCAACTGGTTTTAACAAACTATATACGTATACCAGTTATAATGAACTATATTGGTACCTTGAGATATGAACTTAATTCGTTCCAGAAGGCTGTTAGATTACCGATACTGGATGAATTTGTTCCCATAAGGAATAATGTAAATTAGATTAATCTGTTTCAGACCCCCAAAAATACACTTACAAAAGCACTTACATAAATACACTTACATAATTGTTTGAGTTTTGAGTTGTTCGTATCCCGAGATACCACTGTATGTCTATCAGCTATAACAAACAATATCTATTAGTTATAACAAACTACATATATCTATCCATCAATTATGATGAACTATATCTATCAGTTATAACAAACTATACCTATCAGTTATAACAAATTATACCTATCAGTTATAACAAACTATATCTATCAGTTATAACAAACTATACCTATCAGTTATAACAAATTATATCTACCAGTTATAGCAAAACCATAACTTCCGATTATTCTACTAATCAATGTAAACATCTGACAATTTTTTCAAATTCCTATTTTAAGCATAAATTTTGCAACATTTCTCCTCAATGTGTCTGAGTAGGTTCAAGGGTTCTGTTATAGAGCCCAGTCTGACACCAGACTTTATTACTGACCACCTGGTCAAGAAGGTTGCTGCTGCCCACACCACTACCTAGCCATCACAACCTAGTTGATCAGGCACTTGCCAGAGATGGTCATCAAGTCTTTTCTAGGCTACTTATTACTCCATTTTGAACTCTTTGGTTATGAATGTTTTTAAATACAGGCGGGCCCCATTTTACAGCACTTTGCTCCACGGAGTTTTGCTAATGCAACAGTTTTCAATTACTGTATACCCATTCTTCATTCATTCAGACTCACTACAATAAATATATTCACCACTCATATTAGCTAAGTACAGTGGACCCCCGCATAACGATTACCTCCGAATGCGACCAATTATGTAAGTGTATTTATGTAAGTGCGTTTGTACGTGTATGTTTGGGGGTCTGAAATGGACTAATCTACTTCACAATATTCCTTATGGGAATAAATTCGGTCAGTACTGGCACCTGAACATACTTATGGAGTGAAAAAAATATCGTTAACCGGGGGTCCACTGTACAAAAATATTTGAAAGTGAGTAATGTGTGTACTATATATGCATTTTTTAGGCCTAGCTATATTGCTCATTTAATATATGATAGAGTAAATATATTGTCAGACTTTTACATGCATCTGAACGTGAAAAAAAAGGCTATGTTTCACTTTACAGCGGTTTTCGTTTTACAGCGGTATCCCGGAATCTAACCCACTGTATGAGTGGGGGCCCTACAGTAGCCCAGAACCAAACCTGCTGTATAAGCAGGGCCCTACAGTAGCCCAGAACCAAACCTGCTGTATAAGCAGGGCCCTACAGTAGCCCAGAACCAAACCTGCTGTATAAGCAGGGCCCTACAGTAGCCTAGAACCAAACCTGCTGTATAAGCAGGGCCCTACAGTAGCCTAGAACCAAACCTGCTGTATAAGCAGGGCCCCTACAGTGACAACAACACAGTAGCCCAGAACCAACCTGCTGTATAAGCAGGGCCCTACAGTAGCCCAGAACCAAACCTGCTGTATAAGCAGGGCCCTACAGTAGCCTGGAACCAAACCTGCTGTGTATAACCAGGGCCCTACAGTAACCCAGAACCAAACCTGCTGTATAAGCAGGGCCCTACAGTAGCCTGGAACCTAACCTGCTGTGTATAACCGGGGCCCTACAGTAACCCAGAACCTAACCTGCTGTATAAACAGGGCCCTACAGTAACCCAGAACCTAACATGCTGTATAAGCAGGGCCCTACAGTAACCCAGAACCTAACATGCTGTATAAGCAGGGCCTTAGAGTAGCCCAGAACTTAACCTGCTGTATAAGCAGGGCCCACCTGTACTATCAGCTTGATTGGTAGCACACTCAGCTCACACACTGAGATCTGGGAGGTCGATCTCTGGTACTGTTGGAAACATTAGAATGTGTTTCCTTAAGACACCTGTTGTCCATGTTCACCTATCAGTAAAATAGGTACCTGGGTGTTAGTCGACTGGTGTGGGTCGCATCCTGGGACAAAATTACCTGATTTGCAAGAAATGCTCTGCATAATAAGGGACTTTCTATACAGTAGTACATCATTGATGTCAGTTATGGTCTGTATACCTTGTACATGTACTTGTAGACATAAAGATTATTTATTTATTTATTTATTTATTATACCCATAAAACTGATCATGCCACATACCATTGAATGGTCAAAATTCAAGTCACACTAACAAGTTTTTCAGTCCTTACATATTTTAGAATACTCATTACACAATGGCATGGAATTTTACACCATGGAATGGGTGGGGTTAAACCCATGGCAAGTCTTCAAACTCTAGGAAAGCGTGTTAACCACTTGGCCAGCCAGCTAGAAGAGTAACTAATGCACCGACCTGAAGTCTTAGGACTCACCTGCCATGGTTCAAATCCCATCCGTTCCGTGGTTTATTTGCAATCATGTTTCACGATATCCTGAGTCACAGAATGTTTTTTAAATCATGCTTGTAACAAGCAAAATATTTTTTAACAGAGGATGACAATGGGATTCCTTTTAAAAATATAAGCTAGCATTAATCAGTCTCTTAATTATAGTACGTGGGTATTAATGTACAAGGGATCCCTACATTAAAATGACAGGGTTACTTGTGCTTGTGAAAATTTTTATAAGGAGCACCTGGAACACAAGTTGTGTGTTGGAACACCAGTAACACAACTTGTGTGGTGGGATACCAGTAACATAACTTATGTGATGGAACACCAGTAACACAACTTATGTGGTGGAACACCAGTAACACAACTTATGTGATGGAACACCAGGAACACAACTTGTGTGGTGGAACACCAGTAACACAACTTATGTGATGGAACACCAGGAACACAACTTGTGTGTTGGAACACCAGTAACACAACTTATGTGATGGAACACCAGGAACACAACTTGTGTGTTGGAACACCAGAAACACAACTTATGTGATGGAACACCAGGAACACAACTTGTGTGTTGGAACACCAGAAACACAACTTGTGTGTTGAAACACCAGGAACATGATTCATTCATTAGTTGGGGTTCCCTAAGTCGAGACCTCCACCACATTAATGTGCATATATCCTCTTCACACCTGCAACTTCCATGCATGTACACATACACCAACACGAGCATAGTAACAGAGCAAACCAAGCCCATAACCAATTCCTTATCACCATATAAATCATACAACATTAACCATACAAATACAGCTATAATTGTAATGTGAAATATTTAAAAAATTTACATATGAAAAAGATTTCTTTTTATAGTTAGTGAGCTAGAGGCTTTTAAATTTAAAGTATTAAAAAAAAAAGTCTGCGTTCATCTCAATCGGTCGAAAAATAAAATCAAACAAACTGTTGTCTAACTAAAGTAACATAAATTTGAACCAAATTTGATTCAAAAATTACTGAAACGAATATAAATGTTAATAATATATTTAATATACTATGGGTATCTAATACACAAATATGATAACAATATTGTTATGATACAATACAGTCTTAGTTCAAAGCATCAAACTAAAAACAGTTTAAGAGCACAAGGCATTCTCCTACTCAAGCTATAATACTGTATACGTACTAAGTTTGTATACCTAATTCTGTATACTTAAATCTGTATACCTAATTCTGTGTGTGGCTCAATATATAGTTCCAGGAACTCTACAACTCTTGCACTGCATATCTTCCATGCACTCTACAACTCTTGCACTTTATATCTTCCATGCACTCTACAACTCTTGCACTTTATATCTTCCATGCACTCTACAACTCTTGCACTGCATATCTTCCATGCACTCTACAACTCTTGCACTTTATATCTTCCATGCACTCTACAACTCTTGCACTTTATATCTTCCATGCACTCTACAACTCTTGCACTTTATATCTTCCATGCACTCTACAACTCTTGCACTGCATATCTTCCATGCACTCTACAACTCTTGCACTTTATATCTTCCATGCACTCTACAACTCTTGCACTTTATATCTTCCAGGACTCTAACAACTCTTGCACTGCATATCTTCCATGCACTCTACAACTCTTGCACTTTATATCTTCCATGCACTCTACAACTCTTGCACTTTATATCTTCCAGGAACTCTA